AAGAATTTATGGTATATACTTTTGTCACCATGGTGATACCAGGTGCCATATTATTGAATTAAGTATATATCTCATTAGCTATTATGATATCTAACATTGTGGTCTAAATAACTATTAAACGTTTGTGTCAGTAAATATTTACCATACATAATCCTGGTGATTTTAATGTCTTCCCTAGAGGATTTATTTTTACTTTGTCAGTTTATCATCAGTGTTAAAACTGCCCTTATCTACTTCACACTTCTTCACCACTGTTTTATGATGATTAAGTTGTCCCTGAAAATAGGTCTTGGGTTTAGTTCACATTAAAACACCACATGTTGTGTACATGGGTTATTAAAGTCAACATTCCCCACTTTCCTTGTAATGTGACAGGCAGTGGTGTCAACTGGGTTCTTTGGGCAGTATATTTCGGTGTGGTAGTACTATAAAGTTAGCTTCAGTTCAACGCTTTTACAGGAAGGCTTGTATAAACGTGTCACAGCCTTCACAAAAACACTAATACATGCACTCACCTTATATATACAGGGAGACTGTCCTATTAATGACTCTGGCTGTGGATAAGTTACAGTATGAAATAAAACGACTCTGGTATATGCAGAATGAATTTTTACATTCACCTGTCATTACCATATTGATGGTAGTTGACTTATCAATTGATGAGGAACACGGGAGGTCTTATGCTTCAAAATTAACATTTAATCTAACCTCGGATTTAAAGTAATTGTTCAAGTTGAATATTTCAGATAAAGTATGACAGGGTTATTATAATGCATTAAAAACATTTGATGTGAATAAGATTTATGATTGACTTGCAGTGTAAGACACCACACTAGGTATAACATATCAGACTTGTGTCTATGACATGTTATGTCCAGCAACAGGAATATTTCTTCCTAAACAAACCACTGTACAATGTGTATCTGGTGTCTTGTTTCTAACCAAACCAGGACAAACAGATAACTTTAGGTTCCATCATGAAAATTGTCATTTGGTTCGAAAACTGAAACCAAAATTATTTCAGAATGTTGATATCAAAGACAGGATCACTCCTTCATATGTTACACACAGCATGAATCTCCAATCCTCGTTAGTCCTAATTACCAAAGTGTAGGAGGAGAAGGAAAGGTCTAGAGAGAATCCAAAATGATATGATACATTTATCTTAAAATCAATATTTTTAATTAAATATAGGAGATCACTGTTCCTTCTGTCTTAGAAGGCTATTTATTCTGAAGCACACACACACAAATACATCAGTGTACAAATTGGAAAAGAGTTTTTTTGGCTGACAATTTTCAAAGTTGCTAAAATGTTGGAATTCCAAAAGAAATGCATTATTGTGTAGAATAGTTAGTTTTCACTAAAAGTTATATTTCCAGAGAGTTTCAACAGTACTAATAATCCAGTGTGTGTTGTGTTCTTGCATGCAGTTTAGTAACTTTATATTGGTCTAAAAATAGCAGTTACCAAGGTTTCTCCCCAAAAAATCTGCTAAGTGAATAAAGATATTGCTAAGTTACACATGCACTTGTTGAGATTGATTGTGTTTTTCTCGGAATAATAATTCTGGTTAATTTGTTGTGAAGGATAATTCTACATTTCTACAACATCATTTTATGATAGCTGTTATGTATGAAGAAATACTTAATCAGCAAGTTCTCTGTGATTACTTATTGACAATATCTAATTAAGGCATTTAAACAAGTAAGGGGAGATAACTTAACAATTGATCGCCTGAATTGATCAACATTAAAGATAGTGAGGAAGGAGAGGTAGTTTTAAATTGCTGAATTAATCAACAAATTAGAATTTAAATAACAAGGGAGGTAATTCTGCAGTCATTTCTGTTTGGAAGTAAATTATTTTGAATGATCAAATTAATCAAACAAAAAATTAGAAAAAAAAATTGCTAGGGGAGGTAATTTTACTTTATTAATTCAGTTGGGAATATTATTGTAATTTGCTAGCTTGATTTATTAATTAGTAGAATAATGAGATGAGATAGATCAGCTGTTTCTTGTCTTCTACAGCTGAGTATCACCAATTAAAAAAAACAGCAAGGGGAGATAATTACACTTTTATTTCTATATAGAATAGAATATATTTTGTATTATGATTTTGATTAATTATGAATTAAATAGCAAATAGAATCTTATTGTTCGGAAAGAACTTTTTATGTTACAACCATTGATAAATATCAATGCCAAGGTAATCCCATTGTTACCCATTAAGAGGGAAATACAATCGTTAGGAACAGCTCTGCAACATGATAGATCTACATTATAGTGTTTTAAATCATGTGCAGACAATTTCCTTCCGTGTTACTTTGGATGGATGTCATTCTTGTGCCAAATTCAGTACTCAGCCACCATACGACTCCCGATGGAGCTGATATCAAAACAGCAGCTGATTGGATAAAACTCTACATTTGCGAATTGTTTGAGTCAACGATACATATGGGACTGTGAATATGTATATGTTTCCGTCGAAAAAACCACTATAGATGCAACTAGATATCACATTTTTTTTTATTATTCATTTCTTTTTATGACCTTTCTTGTGTTATGGGGATTACAGAACATTTTTAGGAAGGATGGAGAAAAGTTGAAATGGAGGTGTGAGGCTTGAGTTACACTCTGGAGGTTTTACACGCACCTTGATCTATTCTTGAAAAATGGAAGTTATTCCCTTGATTACTACTTTGCTGGGTGTAAACCTTGAAAATATTTTAAATCAAGGAAAGATATTATTGTTTTACATTCTTTGCATGTTGTGCCAAAAATCAATATAAAAATATAGAGCGTATTAAGATAGCTACTTTTTAATGTGTTCTACTGACAGTTTTGTTTTTTGGTTCTGTTGGGAATGGTGTGTTTATATTAGAGTGATCTATCAAGGGTAGGTAATTCAGTACGGTATTCCCATCTGTTCCATTTATTCAAAGAAAGAGCTTTAGTGATTGATGAAATTCAACGAGACAAATTTGTTTCAGATTCCAAGAAAAATCTCAGTGCTACTTTTTAAGTTATTGATAGATTATGTAAAGTACTTTTGTGTGTTCTGTACATTCACTATAATATGATATTGTTGAAGTAATCCCTTGTGTTTGGTTAGAATGTCTTATAACACAATACTAAATTTATAAACAAATCAACTCTCTTTCTCCCTTGCTCTTTCTCTCTTTCTCGCTTTCTCTATCTCTCTCTCTCAGTCAGCAGTGTCTCTCTGTAAAAGTCAGAGTTATCTCCCTGTAGAAGTCAGAGTTATCTCCCTGTAGAAGACAGATTTATCTCCCTGTGGAATGTAGAAGTCAGATATATCTCACTGTATAAGACAGATATATCTCCCTGTAGAAGACAGAGTTATCTCCCTGTAGGAGACAAATATATCTCCCTGTAGGATTCATAGTTATCTCCTTGTAGAAATCAGAGTTATCTCCCTGTAGAAGACAGATATATCTTGCTGCTGAAATCAGCTATAGAAGAATTGGCAATACCTACCGTAGGTACTATTCCTTTGTATTGTGTTTTCACCATAAATTTACTACTGTAGACATCACCATGGAGCTCATACAAATTGGACTTGAGATAATCAAATAATTACTTTTGTCTTTCTACACAGCTATTTTACGTACTGAAACAAACGTCAGGAATTGTCTTGTTGTGGTTTTTTGTTCTAAATCAAATTTCGAAGTAATTGAACAAGAGAGTATGAAGAGTATGAAGACCAGTATTATATTGGTCAAATGGGGGAGATATGGAGGTTAGCTGTGTGATCCATCTGTGTAGCAATCAGCAAGCTATAGCTGACACAACATCATGTTACATTGAATTACGGTAAATGTTCACAAAATCATGAAGGTTACCAGTTGATAAGATAATTACCATTTGAAGGAATCACAAAATTATAATGACAAATGGAGCAATTGATGACGGTTTGTTAATGTTCAAACGTTTTACGGTAAATGTTCACAAAATTGCATGGAGCAGTTGATAACAGGCTGTTGCTATTTGAAGGAATTATGGTAAAGGTTAAAAAAATTGTGATAATGAATGAATATTAAAGTCTACAACCATTTGAGATAATTCAACAATGCAAGATTGGAGAGCATTTACCATATTTGGTAACTTGAGAGAAGAACATGAGTGTGTATTAGATGCAACCTATCCTTTGTTACCAAGTATATCTTGTTTGAAGCTTCACCGCTCAATTAACGAAAATTTGGGAATACAACTCTCCAAAAAGTGGTGTAATGTTATTATTTAGAATAAACTGATCGCCATGGAGATTTGGTTAGCAAACAACTGTTATATACAGACTTTTTTTGTTTCATGTTACATTCTGCTGGCTAATGTAGTGCTTGTTAGTTTTGTGTGTCTCTAAGTAAAGCTTCTATGTGACAGTGATAAATACCTCATTGCTGATGTGTTTGTAATAAATGCCCAGACAACACTAGAAGACTTGATGACAGAGTCACACGTATGTTTTAGGAAGATTTAATGCCAAGGTTCATGCCAATGTTTAACTTGGTGTCTCTGTACATCTGGTGGAGAAAGCTTTTTGATGACATTGATCAATGTCTGATTAATATTGATGCTGGATATTTCTTGCTTAAAAATCCATAACTGAACGCTGATGTTAATATTTACATCTGCCTTAAAATCAAAATATCAAATAGCATATTCATTGATGTATGTAGGTCAAACAGACATTTGTGAAATGATTGGAAATATTGAAAGTACAACTTCAGCACAAGTTTGATGGAGGCGTTTTCTATATTTTGACTAGATTTAATTACTTTTAAATGGTTTTATTTGAAGAATCCCTTTATGATTTAGTGTCGATGTCTTAGTTTTAATGTAGAACAGTACCATCAGGTGGTAATAAACATTTGAAAAATCTCAAGATTTTCAGAATTATATAAAAGTTTAAAGTCATTAGATAAATTCTGTTGTTTTTCCAAAATTATTGAATTGTATTTCCTTGTGGTTTTTCAGGTGCGGACCTTGTTTGTTAGTGGTCTTCCAATGGATGCAAAACCCCGTGAACTATACCTATTATTTAGGACATACGAGGTAAGGTTGTCTCTCTCTATCTTCTCTCTCTCTCAATACCACTCAAAAAATTACTATGAAAGTTACATTCAAATCAGCATGCATCATCCCTGAATTTGATCATATCAATATACTTATGAATATGTTTGAAATATTAAGATTAATATTGATATTGAAAGTAATGAATTTACAAATTTATTTGAATATTTGTTAACATGTTCATAATTTCATTTATGCAGATTTTTTCATTTTAAGAGTTTTCATGGATTATTGGAGAATGTCAATTTCTTTTTTATATCACTCCATATCTTCTTCAATGGAAGATTTGATATCAGTAAAATTGTAGAATTTTTTTTTTTCTCTGGCTTGTCTAGAAAAAATACTTTACTTAGTGAAAGTTAGTATACTACAGACTGAGAGTGAGAGGTGTAGGTAGTAAAGGAATGTAAACATGTTCTCATGAAAATCCTGTTTTAATCAAGTTTTTTTTCTAATTTAATGAAAAGACAATAAAAGGAAGTGAATATTGAATCCTCATCTTCCGATAATTAATTTGCCTTTGTCTTCATAAAACAACACTTTTTTTTTTGTTCTTCTAGAATTAGACAAACAAACAGAAAAAATCACCAATCGTGCACATTGTAAAAATTGTGGAAGAAACTTATCTTCCTATTGAACATAGAAGCACAATCATTCTAAATCTGAAATAGGAATCTGATTACACATGTAGACTACACTGATGTGTCTTTCTGTCAATCAACTTTGTAGATATTTCAGGATCAGACTTTAGGGGGAGGGATGGAGGAATATTTGTGGGAGGGAGAAGCCTAATTGTATATGTCTCCAGTCCTGGCCTGTGTGCCACACAGACTTTGCCTGATCTACTAAGTGATTAATTTCTCCGATAAGACAACATATGTAGTGAAGATCTAGGCATGTGGTGTTTCTGTGTGTCCTGTACACTGCAGTTGTGCTTACGTAAGAAAATGAAAATATCCAAGTCAAGCACTTTATCTACTATCATCTCATCAGCTTGTTTTAACAAAAAAAAACGTAATAACAAAACAAATCAGTAAACAGTTGTGAAGTTTAAATAAAATTTTTTGAATTTTACTTTACATTTATTTTTAGAGTTAATTTTTTATGTGGTATGTGAAAAAGTATTTAGCTGGAATCTTATTTTAGTTCTTCTCGTCCCAGGCCCAGAATATGATTACTCTTATTTTAGTTTCTGCATGTTGTTAATTATAGATTCACTAATTGATCAATGTGCTATTTTGACAAACAGTGATAATAGGCTTTAATTAATTTCGCCAAATTGAATATGTTTATAATTTTGTAAATTTGCTTATTACGTAGTTGGTGGTATAGACAGTTGAAAGGTTTTTTAAAGCAATTTTTCTTTGTAATAATGTAAAACTTTTCTTTTCCAATAGATATAAAATGTAGTGATGTATACAGGTTTTGTTGTAGGATAGGTACGGTTGTGTCTTCACTTATGGCTAATTTAGGTAATTTTACTCATCTCTTTGAAGTATGTATCTATGCCACCTTCCCATGTGTATACATGTTACATAGTAAAGCTCTTTTCTCCACAGTAATTGATACTATCCTAAGACATAGTGGCATGATACATTGTGGGTGTCCTTTCTTAATGGAATGTACAAACAATGATACAGGACCTTTATGCCTGTTCTCACTGGATATAAAATATCAAAAATTCAGTTCAGGTTTGCTTTGAATCTGGTCATAAGTAACTGAAATTAATTTAAATAGAATTGTGTAAAATAAAGATTTTTTACCTTGTTTTCAAAAATCCCATTAAATTTGATATATCGAGGACATTTGCCATTGTTCGGTGGGGCGGATATTTATTGCGAATTTTGACAATAAAAATGGGCCACAAATCATCCCATCTTAAGACAACTGTGTGGGTTTCAGATGTTTTGAAGACACAAAACAACCAACAAATAAACATCAGATGGTGTCAGTTTCTTTAACAGTGAATTATTGGAGGGTGGGGGTGGGATACTTAATATCAAACTTGAATAATACCTTGCTATCATCATGTATTTCTACCTCGATAGCTTGTCTTTATCAAAGAAATAAAGTTGCAGTGTTTATCGGTTTTTTCCCCATGTATGAGAATTTAAAGTTTACACTTTTCGAAGAAAAAATGTTCAAAGACAAATTCTGGAACTGAAAACAAACAACCTTTAGACCTGCTGGCCATGATAGATCTGCTTCATGATAATTCTTGCCTTCATTCTGTACTGAAAGCATTGATAAGACGCTGATTAACATTTGGCTCAGCCTCTGAAACTTGGAATAAGATAAAAGAAGACGGAAAAGAAAAATCTATGGTTATCTGAAGTTCGGAGCTGATAAGATATTTGTTTGTTGTTTCCTGTCGCTTTTAAGGTCTTGTTTTATTTTCTGAACATAACAGTTTTTTGCACATAAGCAAATGTAGACATTGCATACATTTTCTATGCTTAACAGCCTACAGCCCCTAAATAACCATAATGGGCTCAACCTTCTATTTGTTTGGAACCTGCCAATATAAGAAATTGGGAGCAAAGGTTACCAATGTTACAAGAAATCATTTGTTTTTTCCTAAAATAGACAGAAAGATATGTCTTCACTAATTAGTTAGAGTCCCAAGCCTATCATTTATTTGCCTAATTTGGGTTCTGACATTTCCACGAAGCAGATCAGAAAACATTGCCAGAAGTGGCTGGGTTTAAGATGGCTTCTTTCTTGAATAAGACAGCAGAGATAGATATTCATCAGATATCTTATCTGTCATTCTCTGGAAAATTCCACGTTTAAATATCAAACTTTTATAAAATCCTCGTTATAACTATATTAAAGACAAAGTTTTCTTCATTTTAATCAGAAATGATTCTGTATACAGTTCTAATACTATCGAGGTAATAGCTGTACATACTTCATGTCTTAGACTAGTACTCATAGAAATAAATTTGACTTTAGCAAGTTCATCAAGAAGCAGTGCACGTAGAGAAAAATATCCAAGGAATAATTTGATAGGACAACTATGGCACATTTACATGAAATGTTTAACTCAATGTAAAATTGGTTTATTCTATCACAGTTTTGAGAAATATTGATACCAAGAAAAATTGATTTAAGAAATGACAATAAAATAAAAACACTATAGATATTGTATTGTGCATGAGTGAGAGAATGAAAGTGAAAAGAAGCAACCTGCATGTCTGTTTTATATTGAAATTGCTATGTTGAAAAAAATGGGTCTGATGTATTTTATTTGCAGCTTCAGTTTTTCAAATGAACCTGAATGTTTTCTCATTGCCAACTTTATCCATTGCTATTTAAATGTGATATGGTAAATCTTTAGCTACATACTCTGAATGTATGGGGGGGAATTCACTACACACGCTTCCAAACCAAATCAATATTCTAATGCATAATTCACTCAATTTATTGGTACTATGCATTGAAAATGTTTCTTGGAATTGATATTTTTTCTCTTAGGTAACTGTGAGTTTATTCCAGGATAGGAATTGCAGTTTTTTGTATAAAACATCTACAGCTCTAACCCAACATTGCAAATGGATTTGCCTTGATATAGTTATTTTATTCTTATCTGTTTATATTATCTTCAGTATTTTTTGTGTTATGTTTCATATGTGAAATATTTTTTCTGATAATGAATAAGAACATAGATGTGAAGATATGTAAAACAATTTGAAATTACGCAACATCCTTGAGAAAATGGAATCTCTGCTACCTAAACCAAAATATTCTGATGAATTTTTTTGGTCGTAAAGTCTAACAAATAATTACATCTTTTGAATAAATCTAATTTACTTCAACTAATTATTCCCCCTTTAGTTACTTCCTCTTGTGTTATATATATCCCTATAATTATGATTTATCTCCCTTGTTTATTACAAAACCCTAAAGTTATCTCCCATTGCTTGATTTAGATTTTTTGTCCTGCCTGATCCCATTTATACAAAGCATGGTTAGCTTAAATTGTTATTTTCAGGAATTTTCAAATTGATCACACATTTTTTTCTGAGAAGGTTTAGATTTCATTTTTGCATATCAAAATTTATTCTTTTTATTCAAAAGTTTATTAGATGAACGTTTTTTGTCTGTTGGCTAGCCATGCTTTGTGTTACTCCTTGGCTCTAGTTCACATATAAATAAAATCTTCAGTCTCGTTAGATCGAGCTTAGCATCAAAACAGTAAATTATTGCTACCATATTTTATATAAATTTAATAGAACTTTTTTTTTTATTCACAGTTTACAACTGTATTGTTCAAATGTGTCAAATCTATGAAACTTTCTGAAAATAATCTATATAATAATTGTCTCAGATTCAACAATTGCTTTGAAAACCTGTGTATTCCTTTTGTTAAATCTATTTTTCCTGATAGATAAATCCTTGAAATTAAAAAAATTGGGTCCTTGATGTTTTGAATGCATGCTTTAATTAATTAATGTCTGTATATTGGGTTTTCATATTGACCAGGATTGACAATGTAAGGGAGATAACTCCCCTTGGTTCTTCAACAATATTTTATGGTTGCAGAACACCAAAATAAAAAGCACTTGCACATTAAATAGGAATATGATATAAAATTGCACACATACAATTAATAAAGGTCATGTGTGAGTTGCTTTCATTGTTGCACAAAAAACAAACTACCTCCTCCCTACTACATATGTAATGACATTGCAGTAGTCTTATCAACACAATTTACACTCATAACTTTTTCCTCTGATATTGGACAAATTGCATCAATTCATGGATTGGTTATTAATTACTGTTCTTACACTGTTGCTTTTTAGTGAATGTTGTATTAGTTAATTAATGAAGTAGAGCAGAAATTCAATGCACATGCATTTACTGGGTGTGCGGTGTATATGTACTTAATTCTGATTGGTGGCAGTCTTATTGTTTCCAGGGTTACGAAAATGCTTTATTAAAGGTGATGGGAAAACCTGGCAAAAATAATGCAGTAAGTAATGTAAGTGTCATCGCCATAGCAACAAATATGGCTTCATTTCTACTTTTGACAGCACTTTCACCAAACTAGCGGATCCAGTTGCCATGGCAATCTGAATGCCATATTGTGTCTTCACACTCTGCTTGGAGACAAGGCCATGGTTGCTGAATGGTTGTTTCTCACCAGGTCATCGTCATGGCAACTCACCATTGTTTGTTGGCTAACATCACAACTTTATATATTTGTTAATACTAAGTTCGATCAAGTATCTTATGTCTGTCTAACAAAAACAACTCTGCTGATATCGTGATCATTCTGTTTTGAGAATTTTCAAAAATTTTTATCTTTAACGTTGTTTTTTAGATGTAATGAAACCATGACTGGAAATGTGTATCATTTCTAGACACGATTTTTCTTAATTGAATTATTGTACATGTTTTAAAAAAAAAAAATAGAAAAAAAATAAGTAAAAAAAACTTTTTTTTAATTTTCTCCTAATCCTACTTCCTTTGAAAATCTCACAAGCATAGGTCAGTTGTTGACAGACTAGAGATTGGACATCGTTGATTGCATGTAGATATTGACAGCCTCTAGAAACGCCGAACTAGGAATGGCATCATTGTACTGTAGGCTGACTAACCATTAACAATCACTATGTGTTGCGTAAATCTTGCGTCATCACTAGGTGGCGCCACTAAACATCACTGCACGTTGTGTGTACGTTTCACTACTGTTATTGTTTCAGGGGTACGAGAACTCCTTATTGAAGGTCACCAATAAAAATGGCAAAAACACTTCTGTAAGTACGCAGTTCACCGATCACCGAGCACTAATGTCATTTTCTAACCGAAAACATTGACTTCATTGATATGGCTGTGTGTGTTAAAACATATTTCTTATGAGTCTTGTCTCATGTGCTACAATGTGTGATTTGTGTCGCTGTTATGGTGTTTTGTGTGTGATGATTCGTGGATGTATGTCGCATCTGTTTTGCTATATGTAAGGGATATATTTAATAAATCATCAAAATAAATTCTAATTTACATGAAATGTGTCACATTTTTCATATACGAATCATGTACGATTTGGGTTTTCTTTATGGTCGTAGAACAAAACTGAAAAAGTGCAGAAAAGGAACTCTGATGTTTTATTTCTCATTGGTCATTTAATTGTTCTGTCTTTGTCTCCATCTGGTTCTGTCATCATGCTTTCATTTGTTTCTGGTCATGTGACTTTATCTTATTTGTCTCAGATTATTTGATCATAAATCCTATTTCTGGTCACGTGTCATGCCTTATTTGTCTTTGATTATGTGATCATCCTTTATTTGTTTCTGGTCATGTGACCATGCCTTATTTGTCTTTGATTATGTGATCATCCTTTATTTGTTTCTGGTCATGTGACCATGTCTTATTTGTCTTTGATCATGTGATCATCCTTTATTTGTTTCTGGTCATGTGACCATGTCTTATTTGTCTTTGATCATGTGATCATCCTTTATTTGTTTCTGGTCATGTGACCATGTCTTATTTGTCTCTGATCAGGTGCTCATGATATATTTGTTCCTGGTCACTATAGCCTTATTAGGGCATGTTAGGGCATTTGTGGTCATTATTTCTCTAAGAGAGGAAGTCTGGTAGTGAGATGGGTGCATAACATGTCTCAAAATGTAACACTGTGTTACAATGGTTTTCTTAGAGTTCTCCTTTATGTCACTAAAAATCTACCAGAAGGTAATGTGAGAGATAATTAGAACTTGTGTTGGTTAATTCCCAGTGTTGGGAAAAGGTGGAACAGAAAATTACAATATAAAATATTCATGTTTATTTTTTTAAAGGTCAAATATGACTGTTCTTGAGTATCTAACTAAATACACTGTGTGTTATATATAGATAAATATATATATATATTGCTTGGCTTATCAGTTATATCTATCATTAACAGTGAACTTAATTTGTCAGTGAAGATTTTCTACATAACTAAATTCAACCTTTTAAGATTTTGAATGTTTCTATTGGGTTTAAAACAGTAACAAGAATTAATTTATATAGAAAATGCAGACAATATTTTATTGTTAATGAAAAACAATAATGTTATGTATTAGGTTTATTGTGTTACGCAGAAACAGCCACCTGTGGGTTCTGAGAGACTGTAGACTTCCTGTAGGGGACCCGCACACAAATTTAACCAATTATTATAATGGTTTATAGCTATTCTCAGATTTAAATTAAAGAAAATTAATTACCTTATACCCCGTGGGATGCCCCTTATATTATCCTTACATCCTAATGAAGGAAATCTCAAACCATGCCCTATTAGACTGAAAATTTTAATTGACAGGTGTTTTTTTGCAAATAAAGTATGAAGTTGATTGAAGTGTGATGTCAGACATCCCTCGTCAGTACGATATATCATCAATGTCAGATGATAAAGGAGTTTTAAACTAGATGTAGTTTATATCACTAACAACAGTATTTCCTCCAGTAGATTTATTTCTGTGTGTTAATGGTGTCACTGATCAGGTGATGATCATTAGCCAAATCATTACAACATTTTCTGTTTTAATGAATTTGGAATTAACACCACCAAATCAAAATTGAGATTTATTAGTAATTTTGTGAGATAACTGGATTTAGATCACATAAAAAATGGTCTGTTGTAAATATTTTCAATCAGTAATTACATATTCATTGAAATGATTTCAAATTTTTAAATATTTTTTATTCATAGTTGTTATTTTGGACTCTGATAATAATTATCTGATGTGAATCTTCATATAAATCTAATGAAATCTCACAGATATTGTCATCATAAGCTAAATTAAACTCTCTCCTTCCTTTCTCTGGTATAGAAGTAAGGGAGACAACTCTATACAGATATTTAGGAAGACGGTCATGTCTGCTTTCTTGATGATCTAGTCAGTTACACTGTGTATAGTCTTAGTTATGGTTTACATAATTATGCTACTGTTAAGCAAAGATGTTAAAGTAATATAGATATTTTTTAAAAGATTTTACCAAGTAAAGGGAAGTAAATATTGTATTGTCAGTAATCAGTATTGCTTCAATACATTCTATGTATTACTGACCCATTTCATACCTATTCTTTGATAATATTTTGAAATTCCTAATGATTAATATTTAAGCAGTTTTGACTCACTTTAAGGTGCAACCTCTGTTTATCGATTTATCGAAATTTTGATATTCAGACATTTTAACGATTAAAGATCTGCTTTACTTGACTTTCCTAGGTCTTTGTGACAAGGAATATGTTTCATCTACTTGTTGTTAGGTTTATATTGTTCTTCTTCTTGTTTGTTGTGGTAGTCGGATTTTGCCGACAGTGGTCCAAAGTTTTTCTTAGAAATATAATCTTTACTTGACCAAATCTGAAAACTAAAACTGTATTTATTTGTGGTCTTTTAAAAAGAATTGTAACTGTGCATGTTAAAAGTTATGTTTTTTCTTTAAAAAATGAATTTTTGTTAAAATGAAAATCTCAAATTTAAAGCAGTAAAATGGCTAGATGTTGATAGATTAAGAAATTGAAACCAGGCTGATTTATCAGATTTATTTTGATGAGTATGATGTATGGACATATTTATCTAGACACATGGATTCACTTTCTTACTATACTTTTTAGCCTGTCGGATTTGTTACATTCAACACAAGGAAAGCTGCAGAAGCAGCGAAAGCTGATTTACAGGTGAGTTATCTCCCCTAGTTATAATTATCTCCCTTGAATGTCTGATTGAGTTATCATACTACATATTCCAGTGTCTCAATATTTTTTTTCTATTAAGAAAGCCTTTCGTCAAGTTGAAAACTATCATTGTTTGTAGCGTGGTGGTTGTCCTTCAGCCATAAAGCAATGATATGAATTTACATATCTAGTAAATAAGATAACTGTAATTAGCTAATCTTTATTACACAACTGTTATAATGAAATGTTCTATACTGCTGGTGCAATATTTATCATTTGTTGATTGCAGGTTTTTGCCTTAGTAATATCCCTAATGATTATGTTTTATTTCCATGAACTTGTAGTAAGTCAGGTACTTTGAATTCTACATCTTTTTCATTCAGGGGGTCCGATTTGATCCCGATCTCCCACAGCTGTTGAGGTTAGAGTTCGCAAAGAGCAACACAAAAGTTACCAAGCCTAAGCAACAGAGTCCACAGCCAGCGGCCACGCACCCCACACTGATTCACCCCATCACAGGACGTAAGTAACCATGGCTACACGTGGCAATCCAAGCCACACCTACATACGTCAATCAAGTTTTTATTGTTGCAATACTTTTTATTCAGGCATGCTTCAAAAAAAGTTTTTGTCAATCAGAATTTCATTGCCACACCCATCATTTATGTCAATCATAATTTGAACGCTAGATTCACTTTTTTTTCAAGTCATGCTCTCAAGTCCATTTTTGTCAATCAAAGTTTCCAACACACCCCTTTTTATTAAATTTTACTTTCACAATTCTATCAAGCAGACCTCACTGTCACGCCCACATTAATAAAAGTCTATTATATCACATCCCATCTATGAGGAATTAGTGGCAAATACACACTAATAGTTTTATGAAGCCTAAAGCTGCAAAGTACTTGTCACCTAATAAATGTAGTAATATACCATAATGCTTATATTACAAATTATGGCTACATTTTCCCCATGTCCAATTTGACAGCACCATTATAAGCACAGCCCACTTGTATGTAATTCAATTTCATGTCTATCATACTATGCAGCAATTTGAAAATTTTGTTTTTCTGTATACACAAAGGTCTATCAAGCATTATAATAAATTTATAAACCTGCATCACTTTTTCATTTATGATTTATCATTGTGTGCTTGAATCCTTACATGTTTCCATAGACTAAGAATTATGATTGTAGATTTTGATAGGAATATCTGTCACCTTTTTACAAGACAACATTGTCGCACTTGCAACATGAAGGCATCCCATTTCTTAAATATCCTTGTAATTTAATTTGTTGTCTAGTAATCGGAGCAGGTACTAAATTGACTTTGCCAAGTTTTCCACCGATATTAACAGAAAGACTGGGTTTGTTTTTCTTGTAGGACAAATAACGTTAGCAAGTAGGTGACACAAATTTGACGTGAGGCAATAAAACTGACAGAAAACAAAGCAAAGTTGGAAAATTTCAGTGAAATTTAATGTTTAGACAATAGAATGAATACTTTTGTAACTAAAAATAAAAAAGTTAAGACTGAAGTAAAATTCAGGAGTTGATCACAAGATATCTATCTGTTAATACTCTACTTCAGTGAAGTTGCTTTCCAGGAATTACACGAACAGCTTTCAAAGGGAAGTAACTCTAAGCCAGATTTCTAAACTATTGCACTGTTCTATTTCACATTAATTTCTTCTGAGTAAGAAATTCAAATAAAAGAAAATTAAGAAAGATTTGTGTTTTAATAAATGTCAGTTTAACTTTTTCCGAGTTTGAAGTCTGCCAAATTTCTCATTTTTTTCATCTTTGAGTCAATGAGATGGAGCAATACATGTAAATAGAATATGAGCTTTTTTAAATAAAAGCTGTTTTTCAGTATTAATCCATGATTCTCCAGCTTTGTTTATGACTGTATTAGTGTATCACTTCACTCTCTGATAGCTTCAAAGATCTCAAATGGTTATATTTTATTGATATCAACTGATAAGTTCAGAAACTGGGTCAAAATCAAAGCCATGTCTGAAGTGAGGGAGATTTTGATTGGTAAATTAATACTGAGGAACGAAAAAGGTAATGATAGATTCACTATATCACGAAGATACCACTGAGGTGTTGTGTTGTTTTGTGTTGTGTTTTGTGTTAAGCACCATCCAATGGTTTCACAAAGGAAATTACAGTAAAAATCAATGAGTGGTTTCACAGAGAAAATGTGTTAAACTCTGTGAATTATTTAATATGAGAAAATAAAATCTATCAATGGTTTATAACAGAAATAGAGTTTACCTCCATGACAGTCAAGCACCATCAATTATTTCTGAGAGAAACAGTTAAAAACTGGATTGAATTCTTCATCAATGTGAACATATACTAACAGCTTATCAATAAATAAAAGGAAATGTCGGTGATGCAACCAATGAAAAATAAAAATCACCTCAATAACTTTATCTTGTTGAGTTTGAGTAAAATGTCAGCTGGTAAATTGAAGAGATACTTCAATTGTTTATGATAAGGACACAGTTATTTAACTTTTTTAAATTGAAAACGTAGAGTCAGATTTTCAAGGATGTACAACATGTTATTATTCCATAAGAAATAGTATTTTTTGTTCTCTGTTTTATTTCGTTGTTTATATTCTTACTTTTAACAGTAAAAAGTCACCAACATTTGTCATCAAAATGTTTTCTTTTTTAACATTTTAATGTAGACTCAGAGTCAGTCAATCAGAGAACCTGGTGAAACAGATCAGCGACCTTTGAACTTTGACCCCATGTGATCGGCAGCCAAGGGTTTTTGGCCCCTGACTTTGGAAACCGGTGCTTTGTTATGAACATCTCTTCTATAAATAACCCTACCATTGTTGTAGCAACTCGCACCAACAACTTGCTAAACCTGCACCAATAGACCATACCAAGTCACTGGGTTTATTTCAAGCATTGTAATGCTGTTGATACATTTGCATGGTTCATCGCTTCCTGGGAGTTTTTACAGGACAAATAGACCTTTTCACCCTGTTCTCTGATTCCTTTTAACTCTGACCTCTGGCCAATGACCTTGACATTGATGAATGACTTTTGCTTTTTGTGTCCTGTTTGGAATTTTTGTTGTAATTTGGAATTTCAGTGTGTAATCATGATTAAATGACATAAAATGGTCAGCTTCAAGAACGGAAGGTTGTCATAGAAATATAATTGTTATTTGTGTCAAAGCAGATTTAATTATCTGACAAGTTATAAGATAATATTCAGTATTTGCTATTTCTGCACGTATATTTTTAAAATTCTGTTCTATGATTGTAATAACAAACAAAATGCATGACCTTTGACCTTTTTTGAACTTCAGACCAACTTACCATATACTGGCACTCCCCAGCACAAGTTGGCTTGCAGACTGACCAGTCACATAGCTCTAAACTTATCAATCTGTTCCCCCTTCAGTTCTTACAATGGATTATCCTTTAATGGATCAGTCCATAATTTGAAGGAACAGGTTCAATGGAAGCCAGAATATTTTTTTTCTTGTGTCCATTGTCACGATTTGTTACTGTAGAAATCACACAAACACACTGATGGTAAAGGGACTACATCATACTGCAAAACCTCCATATTACTGAAGAGTTCCAAAATTGAACTTGATTGTCAAAAGCACACAGGAGGATTATTTCCCATCAAAAGGGAAGTAATCCATGTTTTGAAAGGGAGAGAAAAATTGTAAAAAAGAAGAAAAGAGAGGGGAATACCTCACAAATTAATGTTATTTGAAAAGTGGAAATATTATTTTACTCGAAACATATATTGAATCTGCCATAAGCCCAAGTTACAAATTCCTACTAAAAGTCCGAGGAAAGCTTATTACAGGTAAATGAAATGGTTATTGATTTTTTATTCTACGAAATGACATTATGTATGAGTTCGCAGACTTGGGCTTATTTTTAGATAAATATTGTCATTTATATCAAAATCTAATCAATATTTCGTTTACTTTGTTTACTGGTAGGTATGGATATGTTTTGCAGTATGTCTATGTTAACTTTCCTTCCTTGTGGCCCCGGTGTGTGTATAAAACTCTCTCACCAGGAAATATTCTAGACTGGCGTTTAAATCACGTGTGCCTCTCTTTCTCCCTCCACTTACAGAAGAGTTAGGAACAGCTACGTTTTTCCCAAGCGCACCTGAGGCATGGGCACCGCATCCTTTGGCGGCCTATCCTGACTTGACGCAGAGTGCTGCTGCTGCGGCCACTATCCACCAAACAGCCGCACTTATCCACCATCCCGCCCTCGCACAAGTACCGGTACGGGTTAGTTGTCAATCTTTATTACCAATTATTGCACTTGTATTTATATATATAGATATTGTTCTGATTGTCACTGTGTTCTAGTATTCAAACGGTTGTTAGTCAAACTTGGCACTTTTTGTCTTGTGTTTAACATATACATTGAAAATAAGTAAGTTTGTTGTTTACAGAGACTTTCAAACAATTCTTTTCTGTATTTTCACTTTTTTCTACTGGAGTAGTTATTTTTGTTCATTTGTGCATTTACGAAATTTGGAATCTTAGTGAAAAAAAATTAACAAAAGAAAATTAAAACATGTGTTTAAGTTGTGTTTAATTTTTTCACGTGCCTAAGCTAACTCTGCTTGAAACAATTGGAACAATTGTGTCTTTCTGTCAATAAGATATTGCCACTTGACACTTACACAACACATTACAGTAGCTACATATATGCTCTTTGTAAACAGAAAATGAATTTCATTTTGTGTGGTTTTTTTTTGTTTTATTTTGCACAAAATTATGAATGTCACATCCTATTGTCATACAAATCCATCTCTTCATTAAAGATATAATTGAAAAATTTAAATCATGATGACTTTTGAAAGAAATATATATATCTTTGCATCAAAAAATTTTTAAAAAACATATTAATTAACATATTAAATTAATTGTAAGGTATGGCTGACATATCTGTCAATATATCTTTTTTTTCCCTGGACAAGTCTATTTATAGTAACTTGATTTGATTGGTGGACTTTAACTTTTTAACAATAATGGTATATTCCTTCATTATATCTGATTTGTTTTATGATGTAATATACAAGTTAAAATAGCCAGCGAGCACCTATACATGGAAAAATACCAAAAAAGGTCTTCAAATATTTTTTTCATTAATTTTTCATTATTATCATTATTATTTTGAACAGCGAGCTTCAGAATGGTCTACAGTTAGCTATCAAGTAAGAGTTCACTGTATCAATGACAAAACTGGGACCTGGTATTTCTTAATTTATGAAAAAATAAATAAAAATCCATTGCTTTGCCTCTATATAGGTCCTTCAATCATTAGTCTAGCACCTGTGACCATTGTGCAGCAGTACAATGTACTTAATTCTGCCTTTACATTTTGAATAGTTCAATAGATATAGTGATAAATTTCTTTTGGAAAAATTATAGAAATTTGAAAATTCCATTATATTGTGGAAGGTTTCATGTTAGTTTTCACATTTTTAAGCTCTAATCTCTATTTTTTCTTTATATATTTTATACAAATATTTTTCAGCTGTTTTTGTCCTATTGCAATTTCTTATCATTAATAAAAGATTGAATCTTTAAAACCATTTGACACAGTTTTCACTATAGTTCTTAAGAAATATAGTCTATATATGTATATAAAATATTTTTTTTTGTATTTTTATTTATCACATTTAAAAGTTCCATAAAAATATTCAATAAATTAAAATATTGATTCTTTGCTGATCAGAAAAGAGATTTCCTATGATTGATAATACACTAAATATACACTGTAGATGTAGCACCACTGTTATTTGTCAAAATCAGTTTAGATTTCTCTCAGTTTCTTTCTTACATGTTACAAGTTAAAAACAACACAATAACCCTATCACTTGCACAGAAAATGATTTATTTCTAAATGTTTGTCATTGTGTACCAATATCAATAATTATATATCATTATTTTAATCATTGACATTTGTAGTAATTTATCATTAATAAACTGAAAAAAATTGTTATTAATAAACTGAAAAATGAAATTGGAAAACATGCCTATGGTAGCTGTGACCTAATTCTTTTCTTGCATACATATTGACCTTGACCTTTTTTCTTGTGATTTCCAGGATACATGGCTTCAGCAGCTGCCTCAGGTAAGACAAAGTTAAAACTAAATGTTTTTTTACCTGCACAAAATATTTATATAGATTAATACATATTTTTTTTCTCTCTCTACAATTTATCCCCTTCTCCCCTTGTCGTACCATGTTCTGGGATTTGAGACTAATTTCACTGTGGAAATAGCTTTCAACTGGTTTGCATGAACTAGATAATCAACCAACATTGCCATGTATGCCCAGGTTTTCAAGATCTTTTTGCACCTAATGGTATTTTGAAAGCAGCTTGAGATGTTAGACGTTTACTTGTAGTAAAAATAAATGGCAAATTCCTGATCATTTGCAAATTCCACATTTAATTTTGAATATCATTAATATTACATATATTACAATATATATAAGTAGTATTGAATAAAAAATTTGATCGTTCTGTATCAAATATATATATATGTATATTATTTATGATATTGTAAAACATTTCATTTCTGTTTGATTTTAACTTATTAAATCTAGAGATAACAAATATATTTCTATTGAAATCAATAATCAAATTAATGTTTAGAGAAAATGTTTTAATTTGGTCACAATTACTACAAAAAAATTTTTTTTTTAAAGCACCAAAATCATTTTAAATAAAATTGAAGAAAGAGAGAGAAAAAAGAAATATAATGTAAACGAATAAAGTACACGAAAACAAAATGAATCTTTACTTAATACACGTAGAATATTCTAATTTTATCATTTAGATACAGTAAGCCTGCGGTCAGTTCAAACAAAGATAAATAAATAAATGTGTATAAAAATGATTTATTAACCGGGAAAGATTTGAACTTATTTCAACAACATCACCGAAATATACATTTAAAAATATTTTCATATTTAGAAATATAAGCAATATATATATGTACTATTTTTTTATAACTAGTTTCAAAATTAATTTCAGAAATACTAGAATTGAAAAAAAAATAGAGAAAATTAAAAACAAAAAATAGATAAAAATGTTTTGAAATTTTTTTTAAAATTTAGAAAAATTCAATTATGTAGGGATTTTATTGTTCGATTTTTAAATGTGGAAAAATTCATGAGATGATTGGAATCTGCCACAGTTTTTTTCTACACTGCACTTAGAATTTCTACCGTGTTACATGTTGAACAGAGAGTGATCCTGCTGTGTATGGCTCCAACTAGGTATCAAAATACTTAGCAATCTGACATATTTTCTAATCAAATTGCAGGAATGGTACCACCAACTTACTCAGGTAAACTATTGTCAGTGAAAATCTAATTTTAATTTCAACTTAAGGTGGAAATTGAGTGGTTAAATACAGAATCATGATCAAGCATGAAAAATTCATTTTGGAAAAAATAGCACTTCAGATGCTTTAATTTTCAAAATGTATGATTAGTTGTGTATATTTATATTTCATGAAAACAATTTTCAGAAAAGTGAAATTTTTTTTAAAGATTACTCATTTTTCCCTGGTATCATTTGGAATGAACTATTTTTAATGCATGATTAAAAAGAAGTTCATTTTAAATTGAGGTTCTTTACATTGGAATAAATGGTATGAAAAACTGAAAAAAAATTTGTACACAAACAAAAAGGTACCGTGCAGGTTGATTATGAAAAAATGATTTTGATTTTTTTTTTTTTTTCACAATTTTTATAAATCCAAGCCTTTCTTTGATGATTAAATATTTGTATGAACAACGAAAAGGATATTTGGAGATATTTCTGATCAAAGTATTTCGTCTCGTTCTGTGTGTTCCCAAATGAATTTCTCATTAGATTAACAAACATCACCTTTCATGGTATCTAGATTGAACATAATCTGTAAAATGGGACAAGGACGAAAAGCGGTATAAAATTGTCCTCGATAAAACGCAACAACAAGAAAACTACAACTATACGTATTTAGGTGTCAATTTTAACATATTTCATTTCTTGATACCAAACATTTATCAATCTGCTATTCTTTATTTCTCCCATGATTTTGATGATTTTCTTTCATTTATTTCTAAATGTTTTGGCCCTAAACCCCAAGTACTATAAATTAGCCTTGTATTGATTGTATAGCTACAGAAAATGTCCTTCACATTTGTTGATGATGGCTTTCAGATATTTGATATACTTCATCAAAATTATTTAGAATTTTAGGAAGGAAGAGAAGAAGGAGAGAAGTGTTGAGGTCTGAAATCATTAAATTTTCAAATAATTTGATTAACTTATTAAATTCCTAATGTACCAAAAATGCTCAAAATTTTTCTTTAAATGAAAAGAAGTCCAGAAAAATTAAATTTTACCATCAGATTACAAGGAGAATTTCTGTAGCCGTAGTGTAAAGACCACTACATGATTTAATTGTTTTCGTCCCTTTGCATGATGGTCTAGCGATTTTGCAATACAAACCTGATTATATCACCAGATTTATTTATAATTTCATCAGAGGACAAAATCACCTCCAGATGTTATAGAAGTATCAAAATTTCATCAGTTTAAAAGAAATGATAAAAAGAATACAGAACAATAGAAATAAAGATGATCAGATTTTTTAAGAAAAATTATATTTGATCATGTAAATCTCACTACAAAATACATGGTGCCAGAATGTTTAATGGTATGACCACCATTTTTGATAATTTGATGAATTTATAAATAGATCTGGTTGTCTGATTTTTTCACTTCAGATTAGATGTCTTATATTTATACATTCTACTATTCACAGTCATGCGCTACATAACTTCTCAGCACTTTGTAAATAGCACTGATATGTATGATTACAGTAGATGGTGTCCATGGCGATGACCTCACAGCCTTAGAGTTCAATTCTCCATGGCAAATTTGCTGTCTTTTTGTTTTGTCATTATTTTGATCTTGTTTGGATCGACGGATGAAATTAAAAAATATAAAACTTAAACACAGCAAACACGTCATGGAAACAAAGGAATGACAAAACAGTTGACAGGCAGAGAGGGATTACCTAACTTGTTACAGAACTCTTTTGTAAAATTGACCAAACATTTTCTGAATATTGTTTCAAATCCTTCTTGGAACTACAAGGCACAAAGAGAAATTAATTTCCATTTTTTGCGCAGTGACACAAAGTTCCCTCTAAAATTCTAAGCTGTACATTCTCTTCCATCAATGAGAAAATGTTGTACTATTTTGTAGACAGAAATTTGTATCCTTCTAAATTTTCTTTAATCCAAAGTCCTCCGTGTGGCATAATTGTATGTGTCATAAATATGTGCTATCATTCAAAGAATAAACAAAAAATTCAAGGACAATTCCAGTGAAAAAAGAAGAAACATTTTAATTTTTTTTATCAGATTTTGAAGAAGTAGATTCTGAGAATCAATCATGTTTTGGCCCTAAATTCTCAAAACATATTAAAACATAGAAAAAACTATGATTAGTGTTGAAAACCATTCTTCAATATATCCCTCTTAATAAGAGAGATACAAGTAAAGGATTTGATTGGTCAATAGATATCCAACCAACGATACGATTGGTTATTCTCAGATTCACCACCCTGCCATGATGGCCCCCTCTGCTGTGTCGGCCGCCTTGCCACACCCCCCTATTGCCGCCACGCCTATCTTAACTAGCCCTATTAGCACGATGAGCACCACACCTGCCGCAGCAGCGGCAACGTCGAGCCCAGGGGTGCCGCTGACACCGAACAACACACCATGCTCCACGCTGTTCGTGGCCAATCTAGGCCAATTCTCCTCTGAACAGGAACTAAAGGATCTGTTTAGCAGGTTAGTTACTTTCCCCCGGTTGACATAACACCTTCTGGTGGTCATGGTAAACACTTGGACCTGTGGTTGACATTCAGGAAGGTGTTGGAGATATTAGAGATTATTGGTTATGTCTCGAGGGAATTGCTGTGAGAAAGACTTCATTTATTGTACTAGAATGGTTATCCAGAATCATATTGTTAATGTAGATATAAGGATTAAGATGGGAAGGACTTTGAGGTCACGACTTTCATAGAAGTCATAATTGAAAGGTAATAGAGGTCATTGAAAGGTCATAGTTGTTACAGTAACATAGTGAAGTATGTTATTGACACAAAAAAAGTATATACTTCAACTTGAGCACACTGCTGAAAAATGCTTTATGTAGTTAATTATCAATTAAGTTAACTTTTAATTGCCATTAAAGCCTTGTCAGATTACTTGTTTAATGATGATGTTGGCCTGTTTTATCGCTTCTGGAATGACATCATAATGTGGCTGAAAATGATTGCTTTTTATCACTCTAATTCTCCAATGTGGTATGAAATTGTGTGTTAAGTTTGCTTCCTATAGAGTTGAGTATTTATGTGGGTGTAAATGAGGTATCATTTAATGATAAATGGTTGAGCAATATCGGGCTATCACGGTGTGAATGAGAAATAAATCGCTTATGGATGGACTGTTAGTTGTGTGCTAGGCCTGGCCTAATTATCACGTTGGTTTAGTGTTGGCAGTGTTCAGCAGAATATCCTCATTATGGTATTACGTTTGTCAGTTGTGAAGTTCATCCCGTCAGTTGGAGAGATTTTCAATGTCAACCACAGGTAAAAGTGACATGAACTTCACATAGAAAAATTGATTCTGAATTTTTTACTATGGGAAGTATTGTCATGACCAAAGAATGTGATCCATTTTGGAGCAAATGTTTGTAAAATGGTTGTTCGGTTTAAAAAAAAAATAATTGAAATTGAAATAATTGGTTTGTCATTGAAATTTTTTTTATTTGTATCTTGGTTTGGAAAAGATATTGAGAATTTTAAGATCAGTTTTAATTCCAAGGAGGAATATAATCACTTCACCTGCATGCATTAACGAAGGCTTGTAAGGACATATGTATTCTAAAAGAAATATACATATACCTCTCCTCTAGAGTATACACTATCTTTAATTCACCATTATGTTTTCTTTTTAAATGTTTGGAAGGGTGAGCTCTTTACTAACACTTAAATGAGACCTACAGGAAAGAACTTTTTGTTCTCAAAACTGAACAGTTTTGCTCCAGAGCGGATCGCAATATAAGCTGGCCAATCGTAATGGAGGATAAAAAAAATGTCTTTTTGTGGTTTTTTTTCATAGTAACAGCATCCAATGGGAATAAAAGGGAGACAGATATTTAGTAGCCAATCATCTGTTATTTTGCATCCGTGGATTACAATGAATTACCATATTTTTTGTCACAAAAAAAAAATTGATTTCTACATCATCAAAAAATGTGTATTACATCATTAGTAAATGTGTATCAGGTAGAAAAAAATGTGTATTACATGAACAGAAGATATATCTTACATCACTAGAAGAAGTGAACATCATCACCAGAAAATGTGTTCATGTTATTTTTTTTTTATCTTTTGGATAATATTTTTACTTTTTATTAACATTTTTAAGGTAAACTTTTAGCATTATTGCACGAATAGAAACTCGATCAGAATGTCCTAGAATTAGTGTTAGTTTATGATAGTTTATTTTATTGTTTATAAACATCACAAATGAAACAAGATTTAGCCTCTTAATTACATCTTCTTTAAATAGTGACCGATGATTTGAAGAAAAAGGAGTTGTCCTAAATGATACACATCAAGTCCTAAGGTAACTAATGACTCAGCACTTGTACAGACCATACCTCAAGGGCTGTACGTCACCATAGCAACATAGTGTCCAACACTTCGCTCAGATCAGTCGTGCACGAAGCTTGTCCTATATATAAGTACGTCTGATACCACATGCAAGAATATATGTGCACAACCAACAAGATATCTAATCTTGAGATGGCAGTTGTGTGGTTCCCTCTGATTACGTTTCGTTTTAAACATTTGCCGATATTTCAGCATCGTAACTTTTTTTCTTTGTTGAATATGCAGGTGTTTGGGCTTATTTTTCTAACTTTCACTTCTCATTCATTCATCATGTAAATCTAATTTTTGAAATTGCACATCAAACTTTTGAAAAATGATTTTATTCTTTCTGTAGAATTGGATATTCTTGTGTGTTGACCTTTTGGGCCATTTTAGTTATTATATAGTGCATCACAGACCACAAGATCAAAAATTGGAAATTTATTGAAAAATAAAAGTACAGAGCGTATTTTGGTAAACAATATCACAATGATTAACCTGTTCACAAGCTTAGACCTCGGACACATCACAAGTACACACATTATGTTTCTGACAAAAATCTCTTAAATTGCGTCAACTTAATAACAAAACTAAAAAAAATCGGAATGAAATATTCATTCCCCAGTGAAATTAATGAAATTTTGATTGAAAACAAGAGCTGATCATCACATCAAAGCTATTAAATCTCACACAGGAACTTGCTTGCTTGTTAAAGTCAAGGGAATTTTATAGTCTGTTTGCACTGAACTGCTTCAGTATAATTTGATGCGAGTCACTTTCAAATTTACATGGATATTTCTATCTGATAGAGTCACGCAGGGAAGCATATGTCCTGGGTTTAAATCCTGCATAATATTACCAGGAGTATGGAAAGAGTCAGAATTCAAATCAGTTATATTTTCAACATGCTGTTTTTTCAGTTTTATTTTTTAATCCTCTTTAAAAGAATTAAAAAGATATTTTTCATAAATTTGTTTACCCTTGATAGATTTGTTTGTCTTTTCGGGAAATTGATTTATACATTAACTTTATGCTTCGGGTCTGCATACTTCCATGTTAATTAAAAAGATTTGTTAATTTTGATCATAGAATTGTTTCTATTTTGTTTTTCAAACATATGTTTACAGGTCTTAATCCATAAAATTAACTGTTTTTCATATTTTAAAGAAAATTAAACAAAATCTATGAAAACTATACTGATGTAAATTATCATATAGAATTGTGTTATGCTGTAGTTATCCACCAATAAAACCATACCTGGTAATAAGCCCACCCATATCTGGTTCAGTGCTTACATGTGTATATTAATGACCAGCAATTCCATCTTTTCATAATGCAGAGTTATCTGCCCTTGTGAACGGCTTTTGGGTATTACATTGTTTGTGAGAGTTATGTCATTAGAAAACCACATCATTTTCTCACAAAACTAATGAACACTCCGACCTTTTACAGTAATTTAGATTAATTTTATCACCATTAAGATGTAGATTGAGGGAGCTTAATCTTGTTTATTAGAAATGTTTGTCATGTTCTCTTAGTCAAGTGTATATACACATTCCAACTGAGGCAAAATAATTTGAATTGGCTACTAATTTTCTGGTGTTTCATTTTTTAATGATATAGTTAATTAGTAAACTTGTGGGGTTGTATCGATTAAATACTGACATTGTATATAAAGTACATGTTTCAGTAATAAAATATCTTATTTATTTTCACATCAAAATCAAATGCACACGAAAATGTAACCTCGGTTCTGATTGGCTGTTGGTTTTCTTCTGTTTAGCCTGTAAAAAAGTATGTATCCTCTTTTCTGATTGGCCTGTTACAATTTTATTTTAACATATATATATATATATCTTAGTTTGTTTTGTTTATCACTGTTTACACAGAAAAAATATACTGTATAGCCTGTTTTTATATCATCTGACAATTTTGACCAAAACTTTTCTTTTTTTTTCTTGTTTTCTTTTTGATCTCGTATGATGTTTTGACCTGGTTTGGTTTTGTATACGATATTGTGTTGTGTATCATCTGTATATAATCTTGTGTCTCTCTATGTACTACACAAAATTTCACAGTCGAATGTCTTCGGAACTACTTTGCCAATTTCTGTCACATTAACATGCACTTGTGGGAGTACTTTCTATCGTAATGGTCTATGCTGGCGCCTGTAGTGGAAGATTTTACTAACTCTTTATTTATTTTCACTTGTCTATTTTCACCTTCACTTCCTCAACTCTCTTTTTTTGTAATTAGTTGTCCACGTTGAATTTATTTTGTTGTAAAGTTAAACCTTTGCATTTTAAGTCTTCCAATCACAGTCAATGTTCACAATACATTTTAATTCTTTTTCTGGTTTAAGACTGCAGAGTAAATTTCCACATGATTCCCAGAATTCTGTGTAAAGATTAGTGTTTCCTTTTATGTATGACAAGATAAGAAATCAGTTTATTTAATTCTGAAAGGAATTACCTGATCTCTGTCATTACTGGCTTTATTTGCTATAAAGTCTATTATTTATTATGTGCAGACAAGAATCTTGTTGGAGTTGTTTTTGCATTTAAAGTGTTAGTTGATGTATTTGTGGAATGTTTAACCTAGAACATCTTGAAAGTTAGTATTCAGTAATTTTCTGTGGATGATTGAAATGAGCAGATCTAGCTAGCATTGATAATCCAAGTTTGGTCAACATTTTTCAAAGTTTATTGTTACAATGTATTAATAATCGTTATGAAAAAGTGACCTTTTTGTACAAATGCTAAATGTATGTCTTGATGTTCTCTCAAGATCATATTTCTGTTTGAGTTATCTCCCTTAAAACTGTTTTCTAGATTTGTCTTAAATAATGCTGTTTAAGTAGAGTTATCTCCCTTAATGATATTTCAGTAGAGTTATTAGCCTTGATAGGATGATCTATATTAGGGATATACCCACCTTAGCCCATGTGTGTGGGTAACTGTTTTTTAAGTTATCTTCCTTAGATATTGTTTGACGTAACATTCTAACAATTTTTGAAATCCAAAAGTTTAACATAGTTAACTTTTCAAAGATGTTATTTATTAACCAGGATCAAATAACCTTTATGAAATGTCAAGAGGATGTCTCTTAGTGGAACTCTTCAAAGGGAAGTCTTTGTTAGTGAGGCACATACATCCTTAAACAGGATGAGACCTTGTGTTCTTTACTATTGGGTTAAATGATGATATTTTGTTACAGTTTCCAGGGTTTCAGCCGGCTAAGAATGCATAACAAGGGCGGATCACCAGTGGCATTTGTGGAATTCCAGGTAAGTGACTGGAGCAGTTAAATTCACATTTGTTTCTGTGGACGTTGAGTACAGCTACATACATTTGACGTTACTCATAGACAACTGCAGTAAGGTTAAATGTTACTGTCAGGTATCCAAGTACAGTTAGCTATAGACAAAGGACCTTTTATGCAGTTAATTACAATTAAATATCAGTTACCTTTTCGAGGAAATTGGAAACAAATTTATCATAAATTTATCATACCATACTGCTACTTTAAGACATGAAGCTGATTATACAGAACAATAATTTAGCTGACTGTTAAACAATACATTTACCTCAGTTGATTACTGCATAATATTAACATGTTTCAAAGTGTCCTACATTAAAATAAACTTCCATTGAAATTTAAATACTTTTGAAACTTCCCCTCAGCCTCATTTATTTATTGTAAATAATTAGCGATACCCATAGTTATAGTTTTTTGGTAGAATTACCAACAAATACTATTTCATTGCTTGTGATAAGCCCACCCCCTAGAGTCAATAGTGGATAATGGAATAGTCCTGGTGAGTGTATTGCTGAATAGATATAGTGTTTATGTTGCAGCAGAAAACACGGAGGATATAGAACAAAACTTCTACCAAAATCAAATAAAATAAGAATTTTGACCTCTGTGAACTGATTAAGGTCATTTTGAGATCAGTAGGAATTAGGTAGAAGCTAACTTTAAAACTGTGTTTCTATCACAAATCAACCAACATGTCAAGTCAAAGTATTGACAATCCTGTCTGTTCTCGACCTCCTGGAGAAAATGGGAAAAGTTACGACGTCATTTGTTTTCTGCAGTGTAAATAATTCATTGTTAATTGGTATTGGGACGATCAGTGGTTGGTCTAATCAGCAGGTCAAAGGTTAAACATCATCAATATTTCCCTTTGTTTAATAATGCCATCTTGATTGCTTTGTATTAACGTGTGTAGCTGATAGGACCGGTCCCTACCACATGGTAGGCTACATCAGATAATTACTTTCTAGCATGTGCGATGAAAATCAAAAGAATAATTTTATCTTTCATCTTTGAAGGAGTTGTTTTAGAGACGTATTAATCAATGATTTGCCTTTTGATAGGGATTACTGTGTAAGTTATCTGTATTGTTTGAAGACCCACTCTGATGTGTCAGGTTGTCATTGTACAAATGAGATAAATTAATGATAATGTATTTCAATGACCTTGAGAATAATATTGTATTTCAATGACCTTGGGAATAATATTGTATTTTAATGACCTTGGGAATAATATTGTATTTTAATGACCTTGGGTATGATATTGACCTTGGGAATAATATTGTATTTTAATGACCTTGGGAATGACATTGCATTTTAATGACCTTGGGAATAATATTGTATTTTAATTATCTTGGGTATAATAATGTATTTTAATGACTTGGGAATAATATTGTATTTTAACGACCTTGGGTCTCTAACTGTGCAGACTGAACTTACCTTACTCATTCACTTTAACTTCAAGTACATGATTTAATTAGTGGAAGTCTTAACTTCAACTTAAATATGGATTGATGAATACTTAACTATTCAGTATATAGTAACCTAGATAATAGTGTTTCTTAAAGTCAAGAGTCAGGTTTGTTACAGGACAAGGAAATATCATTAATGCTTACATAGTATGGACGTAATTACTAGCCTTTACATTAATGTGTTTTATGGTATGTTTTGTATGCTAAACCAAGTGTTGTGGAAGACCTATCTCTGTATCAGACAAAATGATGACTGAATTCAAGATTTATTAAATATACCAAATGTATGTAGCATACTCAAGTTTCTTATTCTGTGATTTGTCTGAATTGTTTGTTTTTATTTTCAATTGTTGTTTTCATAAATAAATAAAATAAAAAATTTAGCATCATTTAACTTTGAAAACCATGATGCAAGTGAAATATCAGTAATTTGTAAAAAGAGGATATATATATTAAATATACAATTGATTTGGAGGTTTGAAAAAATTACTCTGATGAAGTTAGACATGGTTATTAGTAAGCAGTAGAAGGTGGATTAACCATGTTGATGTTTACACTCATTTAAAGTCAATAATTGTACACATTATTGTGATTTTATTTGTGTCTCATTATATATCTCTGCACAGCATCATGATAGAGTTTTCTCCCTTTGTTTACTGATGTAGCTGATACATATTCACTTCTTGGTTTACTTCCCAGCACTGTATCAACTCTTCTCACCCCTTCAACTGCTCATGGAATTGTCAAACACATATGAATAAGACATTCCATTATTTAGATTTGGGTTGATATGCACAGCTGCCTTGCTTGACAACATGATCACTGTATTGCATCAAACCCTTTCTGACTAAATTTTATTCTTTTGATTCAACTTTTATTCCTTAAGGAAAAGAAGACATATTTCAAAATGGATAAAAAACTTCGGATGATGTTTGGTGTCCCCGTCTTGACCTCTGTTTGGTCACACAAGAACATTTACATCATTTTCAGAAATTATGACTAATATGGTCCCTGACTAGGATGTAATACACATTAATTACAGAATTCCTGTGTTGACCTCTGACCTTTGGCCTCTCTTTGAAATTCATTTGTATTATTACCAATGGTCTATGACCTCCTTGACCCAGGGACCTTCAATGCTTTTATGGCCTTTAACGTTTTACTATGATGATATTTTCCCCTCAATCCTTGGTTGGTGGTCCCTGCCAGTATGTCATTCCATTGACCTTTCATCCATGACCTTTGACATTTGACCTTTCTCCATTATCAGGATGTTAGACAAGCTTTGGAGGCCAAGAGCAGACTACAAGGTTTTGTACTGTTATCGTCAGACCGTGGAGGAATTCGTATAGAATATGCAAAAAATAGGATGGGGGAGGTCGTGGTGAGTGGAGTTTAAATGTTGCTATAGCAACATCCAATCAAAATTCAAGTAAGAATAATTTGAATTCATTTAACAAAAGGAAAAAAATGGCTGTTGCAAGAACAAAAAAACAACAACAAAAAACAGAAAACAAAAGGAAAAAAGAAAACAAAGCAAAAAAGAAAAGTTCTCTTGAGGTACCATTTGGGGTGTAGATATATAGTTTTTATAGATAGGGTGATTAAACAAGAATGAAGGATGATGATACTAACTCTATACTCTCTGATATTGACTGAAATTCATTCCCTTTTTGTTGCATTTTTCATCTTAGCATAATAAACCTGACATCCCTGTGGCTAACATTAGACTGTCCTTATACAGTATAAATGATATGATCCTATTTCGAGCACAGGTATTTCAGGTTAAATTTCATTCCCGTTGTTATTTTTTTCAAGTCTTTTAAGCTTGAACATCTTTATAAATCTGCATCTCTGATCTATATGTATATAACCCATTTAATCTGACTGTTGTCGTGGTTATACCTTAAACAAATCTTGATGAAGTGAAAATATCTGCATTTCCACATGATCAATTTTTTTTTCTTTTAATTTTAATTTTATTTATCTATTCATTTATTGATTTTCTTGAAAACTTTAGAAACCTAGATAAAAAGAATTGTTTCAATCAAAATGTGTAAATAAAATTTAGTTTGCAATTTAAGTTTTTTTATTTGTTAAAAATCTTTACAGCGGTTTTATTTTGATTCCGTTTCTACCAGTAGAATGCTTTAGAATTCTTAGTTGTGCATTCCCCCAATGGACCTCACAAATTTAAAAATCACATGATCACTGCATGAAGTATTTTGATTGGTGGATGGGTATGCACAGCCCTTAGATTGGCATTTCCCACAAAATACATTTGTAACTGTATCCATGCTGTTTTTGTGGTAGTGATGTTATGAACCATTCTCAGTGCTTATTTGAACATGAAGAGCATTTTCTCATACTTACCATGAAGCAGGTTTTTTTTTTTATTCATGTATTTCATTTTCACAATTGCTTTCCATTGGTGAATTTGGTGAAAATTTGAATTTTACCAAAAAACGCCAATGGAGATCACTTTGTGTCCCATTTGAATGTAACTAAGGAGCAATTCCAGTTTTTGGTCTGAATTTTAGCTTTGAATAACATCGCTAAATGATCTATACTTTTGGAGGTCAAATACTGCTTTTTAAGGCATCAACCTGTTGAAAGTTCTTAATAAACACATTTTTCTCAGCCAGAAATTTTCAAAAGTTGAAAAGTTTATAGATGAAATGGTAAAAATTTCTGATTGGAAACTTGACTACAAGCTAGCTTTAGTGAGGTGATACTCTGAAATATAGGGTATAATGGTCAGTAAACACTGATATCAGGGAAATTGGTGTCAGAAGTCAATATGTGATTTTTCACATATAATTGTACTTACAGTAAAATCATGTATTTTCACGGCACTCAGTTTTTGTAGATTTTGAACAAAGTAGTTTTTGTTGATTACTTGACTTCAAGGATAAATAAAACTCAAGGAGGCGACTTAAACTAATTTCAAAACTTTGTTGACATATAAATATGTGGATTACGAGTATCCATGAAATCCATGAAAATTAATGATTATATCATATTACTTTACTTCGCATTTGAGGAAAATAGGCCTTTAAAATTTTGTAAACTACAATAATGTTCTTCGTGATCAAATTTTCTCTGATTCTGATGCAAGATTTTACATGTTGATAATTCATGTAAGTTCTTGTAACCATAGCAACCTTAAAATTGGAAACATGCAGTTTGTTATTAAGTTGTATTAAATAATAGGAATAAGATATGGTTGTTTTACCTTGAACATGTATATTAACAGAAATATTTGTTTTAATTTTCAGGGACAGAACGAGGTTTTAGGTTCTCCCATTTCTCCAAATTCTGCCTTCTAAGAAAAAAGAGTTCCTGCGAATGTCTCCATGGTTACAATATATATATATATATATATATACGATTTGTTTCTTCACTTGTTGTCTGCTCATGGACCCCATGGTGTTGCCATGGATACCAAAAGTCTTGTTGTCAGCCTGGAATTTGTTGTTTTGTCTCTTTCATGTTTTTTTTATTATTTGTTCTTTTTTATAAATATTGCTGTCTTGGCTTGTTACCATAGTAACGTGCCTGACAAGGTATTTGTTAGTTAGGAAATCTAGTTGTTACTCCTAGTATGAGACCTAGTATCATTATAATGAGTCGATGTAATATGCAGTAGTACAAGCCTAGAGATAATTATCATATACAAACTTTATGCATGTAATTGTACAATAGAGCTACGGACCTGAATCCTTTTTCAACAGTGTGATGTTTATAATATTGTATATTGTACATGTGTTGATATTTAATATGTATCAAATGGTGTATTTTGTAAAATAAGAAAATAATGAAATGCAATTTTTCTCATGTTGATGTGTTTTCATAATGAATGTAGTTTTCCATCTTGTTTATCCTGCATTCCTATTTTAGATGAATGGAACAATCCAGTTAGTACATATAACTATGATGTAACTGGACTGTTCTATTTTACAGTAGGGAAATGGTAGTTTCAAGATGGTTGACATTTTTTTGTCTTATACATAAAATGTAAAAAAAATGTGATTTTGTAAAATTTCATATCTATGTTAGTGTTTTCCCATTGGCTCTTTTCCGTCCAATCAAATCTTGACATATCTGCGGTGCAGGGCATATCCACATTTTAACGAATATGAATAAAGGCCTTTTTAACGTAATGTGTTCAAAATGTATGAAAACACAGCGTTGTGCAAATAAATTGGGAAACCAACTTTGTTAATATATAAATACACCGACACCATTGATTGGTTGTATAAGTTAACCTTTGACCTGTGACCTTGTTTGGCATTACCATGCACTAAAATGCACACAATAGGTATGGTGGTTTATGTACATACAGCCATATCGAAATCATACGATACAGCAAACGAAAGGTTGTGGATTCATAATTATCTTGGCAGTAGAAGTATGACATTGTTTTTTGGAGTAGTTTGAATGTCGTTTAATATCTTACCTTCCAAGAGTTAGGTAAACCCCTTTCTCCTCTTAGTTTGTATGCCTGATCAAAGCCTTTTCATCTGATACTAATTGGAGATGGAAAATTGCTTATTTATATGAATATTTCAAACTTTAAAAAATCAATTGTTTCTACAAATATTCTTATGCTATTATTAAATTTTTGAGAAATGTTATCTTAATATGCAAATCTTTTTTTTTTTTTTTTAGTAACATTTCAATGGTTTGTTTTACACTTTTAAAATGAATGTCTGTTCCTTACAAACCTATAGAGGATATTGGAACAGTCCAAGCTTATATAGTGCAATCCGATATTGGAAGGATCTATAAAGTAAACTAGGGGGAAGCATTTATATAGTAGTAACTTTTCCTTACATGTTATATCTGTTTGTGAAATTGAAGAGTACAACGAATGGAAACATTTTCTGGAAAAAAAATGTTTGCAATTTTGATTTTGATGCAATTTTAACAAAGCACTTTATTTATGTCTGGGCTAAATGGAAGATTATTCAGAAACACTTCAGAAAACAATATAACAGTCTTCTCATGATGCAAGAATACATTTTCCGAATAAGATCAAAATTATTTATATTCATTACCTAGTTATCGACATGTTAGAGTTCATGATGCTGTTACTTAGTGCTGTTTTTCAGTAAATTTTTACGAGCTTTTCTCGAGTTAATGTTCTAATTATAGACTCACTGTGCAATAATGTCACTAGTTTTTGTCTTCGTATTTTACACAATTATAACAAAAATGACATTTCCAGCTTTACATTCTGTAACACCGATTACTATTCCAACAAGAAGTAATAAAGAGAAAATGACACTGTAGATTTTGATTGTTATATGACAAAATACTGATAGCTGTAAATCTGATTTCACAGTAATGTAATAAAAAAAAAACTCAATGGAAAGAATGTTTAAAAAATAGATTTCAAAACATGATTGATCACAGAAAAAAAGGCGGAAGACATTTGTTTGATTTTAGGTTGCACAAACAATAAAATTGTGTTTCAGAATTTATAAGACATCATTAAATTTATTATAAATTTACCACTAAGTCTGAAGTCGGTCTCTTGATTTTTAAACTGTTATCCCTTTGTTATCGATTGTGAGCTTGAATTAATTTAAATATCAAGTTGTTTTGATGATAATTATTGATGTAATATTTAAGGAGTACATAATTCTAAATCTGTAGTGAATTTGTGAAATAGTCACAAAATAGGTGGAAAATACTTTGTTATAATCCGTACAATATGCACACACATTGTGATATTTTTACCATGACTGTTATCTTGTTTTGCAGATGAAATCTAATTTTAAAGAATTTGTGGACCAATGAAATTTATAAAGAACAACATTTCCATCAGATCAAATTATTTATTCAATTGAGTAATTTTGGTTGCTAAGCAACACTATATATAAGCAGTATAGATCAAGGTGTACATATTCATTATAGTGTTAGAATTGATTAAGAAACAATGACACAGGGACATCAAACTAAAGTATTTGTTTTTAATCTTTTGCTGATTAAAAAATATGCCCCCACTAGTTAAATTGGGAACACGGAGCAACACCACATTTGTAGCTAAGTAACATATGCACTTTTTTTCTACAGCTTTGGTTTTTATATAAAAGTTTGTTAAAATACATTGCTCTGCCCAAGTTTGCAATCAGGGAAACAATCGTACTATCACATGAAGAGCCCCATGTCTATACCATTCAGTGTTTGTTTATTCTTCAAGTTGAAGATAGAATTAAATACATCAACGATAATTTCTCTCCGTGTAAATTGTTTTATATATAATGTAACATTCCAGTGTGTTATGATGACAATAACTATCATGTATAAGGGTTGTCATAGTGATGCTTGATACAGTGTATAAGGGGTTGTCATGGTGACTCAATACCATGTGTGAAGGGTTGCCATGGTGACTCAATAAAATGTGTGAAGGGTTGCCATGGTGACTTAATACCATGTGTGAAGGGTTGCCATAGTGACTTAATACCATGTGTGAAGGGTTGCCATGGTGACTCAATACCATGTGTGAAGGGTTGTCATGGTGACTCAATATCCTTTGTGAAGGATTGTCATGGTAATGCTTGATACATTGTAAAGGGGTTGTCATAGTGACTCAATGTCATATGTAAAGGGTTGTCATGGTAACTGAATACCTGTATAAGTTTCTGGTAACACTTGAAACTGTTTATAAAGCATTGTCATGGTAGTAAAGCTTGATACGAAGTATGAAGGGTTGTCATGGCAACATTAACTACAGTGTATGAAGAGCTACCAAAACAAGTGCTTGGTTGATTATCATTTTTTTTCCTCTAATTAATCAGTATACTGTTACCATACAATTACATTTTTGTGTTTTTTGGTCATTTTTCCCATTTTGATGCAATGTAACTTTAAAATATGATAAGCAGGCCAGTTGTGTCAATTTTGGTCACTGAAGTTTTTCTCTATAGAGTGTTTTTTGGATGGTCATGAATATTCATATTCACCCAATCATGATTATTTAAGGATCTCTTGATCATGAATATTCATATTCAACAATTCAGAAGCCAGTTATGTACAACTATTGGTCAAATACAGGAATGACCTTGTGGTGACCTTTATAGGGATTATCTTCAGATCTCACCAGAGACGAACTGAAATGTCTCATCAAATTTTGTAGGATTGCTTTTGATGCAAACTTATGCAAATTAGAATGAGTATGTAGGGTGAACGCCCCTGATTGTCGGAAGTGAGTACATGTTTTCAGATTGTCTGTTTGAACGTGTGGTAATTATATTATATATCAAATCACTGTCTGGGACTGCAGCAATGAAAAACGTTTTTATGAGTAAGGTAGGAAAGAATGATGACAAGAGGCTGATAGTGTCATGGAATGTGTTACAGGTCTGATATAGAAACCAGCAGATTGTCCTATAGATTCAGCAATAAATTCATTTACAACACTGATAGGATAGAGATAATGTATCTAGGTAGTGTAATGTCACAGGATGTTTGTCAAGATAAACATTCTGAACATTTATACTGATTCATGTGAGCTGGTTTATGATTAATGCAATAAGTTATGGGGATTTTAAACATATAATGACTGCTCTTCCAATGTTGTTTGAGTCAGTGCAAGCTCCCAGGCAGTGTAATCAAGGTTGTGTGTCTCGTTGTTACTTTGTGATAAATATCAAAACACTTGTTAATGCGATTTGTCATGATGTAGGTATACCAATTTAGTGATACCATCATGAGAAAATTTATGACAATTGTATGTTAATATTTTTTTTGTATATTATATTTGATTGAAAGGACTATTGTTGTTTATTTAGCTGTCTCATTAATAAAAATGTTTTTATTTCATTTATTTGAAATCCAACATTTGAAGAAAATTTATCATCAGAAACAATAAAGGAACTTGGAGTAGATTTAGATTTCTGGGCATTTTAGTCTTTTCACAGTCTATACTCTTGAGTTATCTTACAAAATTCAAGATTCATACGTAAATAAATTTCCTCCCAGAGTAAACAAATATCGATAAATATGATCTCAATTCATTGTTTATAATTTTAACCCCTTCAAATGGAGGCTGGGCTAGATTTAGATCGTTTTTTTTTTTTTTTTTTTACTTTTTTTTTTTTCTTTTCTTTTCAGGAATATTTGGTAAAATTGTCAGTTGGCCATCACTGATAATACTCATTGAAATGCAATATATTGAGTTTTGTGTATATTTTAATCATATTTGTAACTTTTACTATCAAGTATAAATGTCCTTCCCTGTTGTTATCACTGGAGATTAGGTAACTCCGTATTGTTCATTTATTGGGATAGTTAACTCCCATTTTGTTTTCATCAGTGCAGC